TTGTTGGATATCAGTAAAGAACTGTTACCCTTATCCCCACACCTCCTGCCTGAAGGCTTCTGATTTGGACCTAAAATAATTAAAAGGGAGGGGGTTGCATTCCGCATCTCAGGAAAGGGGCTCTTGCCTTTCCTTAGACCATACCTGTCTTTCAAACCAAGACAACAAAGACTTTAGTTCTTATTTTTGACCAGCTTTTCAGGAGGAATTAATATGATCAGATTGCAGTGGTCATGAAACTTTGGGCCCACACTGTAGCCAACAAATCTGACTCCTGTTGCTTTCATTTATTTAGGCTAAACATACATGTGAGACATTACTGGATCAATAAGTAGTGACAAAGAACCAGTACATTGCATTGTTCTTAAAAATTAATTTAATCTTAAATCAATTTTAGAATCAGCAGAACTTTTAAAAGAATATAGAACTATTTTTTAATGAAGAAAAGCCAAAGAAGCAGTCTTACAGTTATAAAAGTATTCCTGATTTTACACCCAAGCATCTATGGAATACATCTATGCAATGGAAAAATGGTCAGCTCCTTCAATTTTCAGTTAAGTGTTTAACTTTAAAGCAAGCAGTCTTGGTAAATTAATGGCATGTCTTACTTAGCAGTCTTAGTTGTACAACTCTTAGTATTACTGTAATTTTGTTGAACATTATTATTATTGTAATTTTATTAATATTGTAGAAGTGTGTATTCAGCATTAAGTAATATTGCCAAGATGATGTCTCTTTTATACCCTAAAGGTTATTTGGAATGGTTACATTGCCAGCAAGACCAAGCCCTGATACTTCTCAGTAAGGATTGTTGGTCAAGTACAGTTTGAAATACACATTTGCTTGCACTCAGATACCCTAAAAGATGCATGTATAGGTTTGGATAAAAAAAAACAAAAAAACATACGATTAAAATATAAAGGTTTAAAGATGCAAAGGTTCAACTTTTATGTTGTTATGTTCTTATGCATGTTAATCATTGGCCAGTCATAGGCAGGCTTCCCCAAGTCTCTGTTTTGGAGACCATCCTGTTAAATACCTTTATCAATTATTTGGACCAAGGACTAGAGGGCGTAGTCAGTCAGTTTGCAGATGACACCAAACTGAGCAGGAGTGTTGACCTGTTGGAGAGCTGGAAGGCTTTACAAGGGATCTGGGCAAGCTAGATCAGTGGGCTGAGGCCTGTGGAATGAAGATCAACATCCTCTACTTAGGTCACAAGTACAACACAACCCAAATCAATGCCACAGGTGTGGGGCAGAGTGACTAGAAAGCAGCACAGCAGAAAAGCTGCTGGTCAACAACTAGCTGAATGTGAGCGAGACTCTGCCCAGGTAACCAAGAAAGCCAGTGGTATCTTGGCCTTTATCAGAAATAGTGTGGCCAACAGGACCACAAGTGACTGTATGGATATTCCCACTTAAGTATGAAGGGGTTTATTCTCAATTAGCTTATTCACTTGCAAAGTTTGTCCTCTTCAGAGTAGTTATTTCCCAGAAGGGGAGCATTTTCAGAAGAAATATTTCAATCAGTTTCACCACATAGACACTTTATATGACTACACAAAAAGTTAATTACATACAATAGATCTTGATAAAATAGGAGAGAATATTCTGAACTCCAGTTTCCATGTTATCGTGTACACTATCACATTATTTGTATGGCTTGGAATATGTGTGCCTCATTTGCCAGAATACCAAACCTGCTGTCACAGAAGATCTCTGTAGACATGTTTTAAATCTAAAGTCCACTACCAACATCAAAGGTGAAATACAAAGCAAAGGTAAATGGTTTTCACACTTCATCACTTCCTTTATGATCTGAAATTACTACACTGGCAGTAGAGGAAAATGTCTACTTTGTTCTTTAATTAATATTTTGAGCATTTTTTAAGCTCCAGTGCCTCACAGCCTTTTTGTGTTGCAGTGCTATAACAAGATCTTTGGAGATTTGTAAGATGCAATTGTCCACATTTTCATTTTAACTGGTCTGATGCTTTATATGAAAAGAAAAAAGAGCAATTAAGAGGAGAAAAACCTTCATTTCAGATAAGACCCTAAATCAGCATTAGTAATATCGTTACCCATGATGCTGCTGAAGCCTTTAGGGAAAAAAAGCATGCCTTTATCCTATTGAAGTGGTCTAAGTTATGTCCATAATAGCATCTGTGTGAAGATGTGCTGGCAACATGAATAACTCTGCTCAGATTGCACCCTTAGCAAGATCCTGCCAGAGTCCTTCATCAGGCAGAAAAAATAGTTCCATTGGACTTCTAATGAAAGAAACTTACAGAAAAATTATGGATTTTTTTTTTGCAGAGCTAAAGAGATACTAACCATACCTTCTGTATAAAAAATGTTGATAGTTTTAACCAGTGTGTAATAAAAATATTACGTATTCAGAAAAAAATATTTAATATTCAGAAAATTTTGAATATCAAACCAGGATTATTTTGAATATTAAATTATACTACATTTATAAATAAGTATTATTTACTATTTTCTCAATTCACTGTTAAGATAATCCTCTGAGCACTGATTGCAAATAATTCTTCTAAATAAAAAGATGCTTCTCAAAACTTCTAAAATGTCTCTATAGTGTGTTTTTTCTGCCATTAAATACATTGGATGTTAAGGATTTGTGAGGGCAGAAATGCTGATGCATTTTTGATTGGGAATAATGGCCAAGCAGACTTATCGTGGAGCAGTTCAAAAAGGACTGAAGGTGGATGGTCTATACCTGTCCCTTTTCATGTATTTTGGGTGATTTAATAAACAAGCACCAAAGGAGAGACAAGGTCCTTGAGTGACATGAACTGGGGTCAGGCTGACAGCAACTCTGAAGTGGTGGATGGAAACCAGGAACATTTGCTTAGCCTGTGTCTAAAGTTGCATTATTTTCAGAGTGAGTTTTGTATTTTAGAAACAATTCAGTCTGTCATTCAGGTTTATGCCTCTGCAGTGCTGAGATACAATCTCATTGTTTTGTGACACTGACACTTTCCTGTTCCTCACCTTATGCATGTGTGAACAATTCCTTCCTGGATGGGGTACCCAGAGAATAATAGGAGAACTCTTTAGTTTACAACTACTACTCAAGATACATATTTCTGAGCTTTCTAGTCCTGTGATTTATGACAAGAAGTTAATCTTGTTGAATCCAGAAGAAAGGTGCTACCCGAAGTCTGTCAAGGTAATTGTTCTTCTTTATCCTCTGAGATAGGAGTCCTTTGTATCAAATAAACATTTTTTAAATGTTCCACCATACTATCCTCCTCATCTTCAAGATCTGCATCTTCTTGCATCTCCCACCTGAAAGAAAAAACATTTCATTAATTTTAATGTATTTTAAACTAGTCTTTAGAATAAGTAAAAAAATACAGAACTAGTTTTTATCAATGCATTGCCCTCCCCAGCCGTGGTTACACCAGTTGAGATTACTGAATCACACAAAATACACCCCCCCAAAAACCTTGCTACACAGAACTTGGCATGGGCATGAGGCAATTGACACAAATTGTCAAAGCTACTACCAGATCTTACTTATATTTACTGCAACAGTCCTCTTTTTTTTTTTCCATTTTATGTGTCATACACACATTGATAGAGGTGGAAACCTTGTAAAACTTGCAGAGAAAAAGTGGAAGAGCTAACACACATTTTGGAAGTTAAGCAGATGCTCTCAGTACTCTCTGAGTTTGCAGTGAAATGTCACCACATGAAGTCCAACCCAAATATTTAATGTGAGTTGTCATAATTCTCTGGCAGTGACAGTACTATTTTATAAAATACTACAAAGCTGACTGGCTCTTTGTTTCTTTAACGATCAAGTATAATGATCTAACCAGAAATAAATGACATCAGATTCTTCCTTCCCCTTGTGAATACTCACAATTCCAGTGAATTCTAGTTTAGGATTAAGAGCTAATGCCACTAAAACTGCAAAAGTGAAGGACTGTGAAGATTATTTTTTTTTCAGCAGTAGTCAAACACAGAACCTTAAAAGTAATGCAGTATTCTGTTAAAGAAACTCAGGATAATAAATGCAGTGCTGATATGTAGTCAGGTAAACTTTGTATCACTCCAGTTATACCTACACATGATCACTTCTGTGGCTATACCTCTTTTACAAGTTCTGTGGATACTTAAGAGTTTGATATCCCTTTAATACTTATCTCATTCTGTTCTAAGTAGATAATAAAGTGTAGGCTCCCAGTTCAGACCACCTGACAAAAGGTAAAACACCAATACTTAAACTAGAAATCACATTTTCAAGTATTAAAACTAATAGGTTATAAATGAGTCATAAAATGATGCAGAAAAGTAGGAGATGTAAAAAAAATCAGCCGAACAAGGACTGCTTTTAGGAAACTGTTATGAGCAATACTTTAATCCTGTCCCCACACTTCTTCGGTCTTCATTCATACTGCAAAAATCAGAAGCCATATACAAGTTTAGATTGGTAAATAAATCAAATATAATACAGAATGTTGGGATAACTATATTTCATTCCTTATATTTGCAAGTAAAGAACAGTCATCATTGGCAATAGAGCATGGTGTACACTTTGTATCTATTTAAAAGTTTACTAAAACCAGAAGAACAAGTGTAGTAAAATCTCATTGTTAAAAGACAATGAGGAAAAAACATGTTCAGTGAACATGTATAAATTAGCATATATCCTTCACACCTTACCTTAGAAACTGAATCTGACAACCCATATTACTGCCTGAAGGAGTATCAGAACAAGCAAAGCATACTATGAATAAAATTATAAGCACTGAATGCCTTTGATCAAGGTTTTGCAATAATTAACTTCCTATTACTCCACTCATATGTGACTGCTATCATACTTAACCTTATATGTATATTAGTATTAGATACAATTAATTGCTATGTCTGTCTGCTTCATTCTCTGGTTTATGATATAAAATCTGGCTGTATGAACCTTCAGTGCAAGTATCCACAGTGAATGCTGTTTAACAGGTGACTGGTTTCCCCTTTTTCTTTTGGTAATGTACCTTCTCTTCAAACCTAGGAAGAGTTGTGCAAGCCTTGATTTGAATTTATGGTCCTCAGCATTATCCAGAAACACTACATGAGCTGTACTAATTAATTTTAATTAATTTGATTCGTTGCATATTTTTAACTAGAGGAGCTGTTTGCTTAGAAGGACCGTCACAGCTACAGAGATAGAAGGTAGAGTGTAGCATTAGGGATGACCCAAAATCATGTATTCCATATCTTCTCTACATCAATCCGTACAAGGTAGTTTACTATTTCTTTCAGACCCAGAGTTGGAAGCGGAATCTCTGTTTTACCACAGTTCACGGAAACGGGAAGGGTGCTGGGAACAGACACGTGAAGCTCTCTGTTTTGCTCTTTCCAGACTCTGGAGAACCTCAGAAAGCGGGGCGCTCCGACAGGCTGCTAGCCACGGCCTCGCAGCAACTGATGAGAAAAGAGTCGGACAGCCACCCTTGCCGCAGTTGCTACAGCAAACACCGCTTTTGGGGAGATGTTTCTCTGGACTTCCCGCCAGGAAGTCTTACTGCTCAGGACAGCCTCCTGTCGCCAAGGGTCGGAGCTGCTCCACAAGTTTCCAGATGCTGAGAGGGTTGGCCCTACATCTGCTGAGAAGTTTGTTCCAGCGTTTCAGCAGCATTTGCTCCTTCAGGAGAAAAAGATGTTTTCCAGGTTTTGGTTTTTTCCTGCTGTCATTATTGCTTGGGAAAGCAGGCAGTTTTGGAACCACGGTTGCTCGTTTGGTGTGTTCTTCCCTTTGTCCCGTCTTGGCTGCATGGCCCACGGAGTGGAATCTACACCATTTTGTCTGTGTTCCCCGGGACAATTCGGGAGACCTCCTCTGCATTTGTGGGTGAGGATTTGACTGTTTGCCTCTGTATTTCTTGGTTATTACTGTTTTCTTTTAGTAAACTGTTTTTTCTTTTTCACTTATATCTCTGCATTTGTGTCTTCTCATTGGCAGATGGGATAGGTTGAAAACTAAGGGGAGGGAAGTTACTGCAGAGTCTCTGCCCTGTAAAATTGCCTTAAACTAAGAGATATTTGGCACCCAACTAAAAGGAGGTCAAGAGAGAAAGTGAAAAAATAACAAATTTGACCAAATCATTCCTATATTGGGTACAAAACCCCCTGGTCACCACATTGCTTGGTCGGGTCATGGCACTGTGGCACCTGACCTTGTATCTAAATCCAAATATGTGGAACCATCTGCCTGTGATAGTGCTTTTCTTCAGATCAGGGAGAGGAACCAAGATACAGTTGATGCAATTTGTAATACTAGTTTATGGAATGATAACATCAAAGGCAATGAAGGTCATTTGGTAAATATATTCATGGTTGTCTGCCTGTCCCGATCTGGGCTGCTGTGTCTGGGAGTTTATTAATAATCGCAATCAGCCTATGGGGGGAAGAGGAGAAGATAATTTTTCGTTTTGCCTTTCACCTCTTTCTCCCCTTCAGGTCTGACACATCACTTCTTGAGAAACCTGAATTCCCTCTGGATCCTAAGGACACCATATACTTTATGCTGGTTCTACTCAGTCTCCTCTGTACAGTCTACAACATATTTGGAGTCAGGATGGAGATTTCGAGGGAGGTGTCTTGGAGTGATATATGATGATAGTCTATTCCATGGTCCTCTGCTTTATGTCCAAAAATGGTTGCTGTATCTTTAAAGCCTGGGACTGGGGAGGGGGGAGCTTTGGGTTTTTGGTGGGCATTTTTGAAGCCTCACTGCCCAGGCATTCCATGGCGCTGTGCAGTTTGGTTTTGCTTGGCTAGCTTGATTTTGTTGGCCCAGGTAAAAAGCTTTTCCCTCCTCTGGCTTGGAGAAGCTGCAGCAGCAATCTTTCTTCTGCCTTGAGGTGAGCTCCACAGCTGCTGCACTCCAGGACTCCAGGAATGGGACTCCAGGATTGGGATTGGCTGGAGCGGGGCCACCTCGTTCCAGCCCCAAACCTTGGGGAGCTGAGCCAGGGAGAGAAAACACCAAGAGGCTCCACTGTTTGTGTGCTGTGGAGAGGGGGTCGATGCCAGAGAGCCACCAGGTTTTTGCCTTCTTCTGGAATTCCTCCATGGAATATCCACTACCCTCAGTGTGAAAGCCTGCACTGTCTTGTACCATATGTCAGGGAGTAAAGTTTGGAAGTCTCCCTCTGAACAAATACAAAACTCTAATAAGGTAGCAGAATATTTGAAATAAAATTGCTGTGGCAGTTCCAGAAAGGGGCAACTTACTGCTCTGTGCTGGACCCTAGTTAATGCTAACTGCATGCTTCTTGTTACTATGCAACAGTAGCTACAGCCAAAAGAGATGGAGAGCAAATTGGCAGATGCCACAGTCACTCAGGCTGCAGTTAAACAAGATGGGCAGCCTAAGCCAATAGCAGTGGCGCCTGTCCGAAGGAGGAAGTATAAGATCAGATCCAGTTGCCCAGTAAGGTAACCAAGGGGATTGTTAGGCAGAATATTCAAGGGGAATGTCCCTTCAATACATCATGCCAACAATGCTACCTGGAGTAATCACATCACTCTGATCATACAGCAAGTTCAGAAGTTCAGATGGGAAATCCTAATCACCCTGGGATCTTGGAAATTATCACAAACTGTCCTGAAGGTGAGCATTTTGGACCGTCATCTGAAGAGGATTAGGTGGCACATGCTGAGGAGGCCCCACGATATAACCAGCCACCAGAAAGTGAGAGCCGACACACTCTCTTCACTGACAGCTCCTGACATATCGTAGGGACAAGCCAAAAATGGGAAGCTGCCATATTGGAGCCTAAGCAGCAAGTCACAGAAACTACCAAAGGACAAGGTGGATCAAGTCAGGATGCAGAGCTGAAATCCGATCTGGCTTTGGATATTGCCAATTGAGAGAAGTGGCCAAAACTATACCTCTATACTCACTTGTGGATAGTGGCAAACACTCTGTGGTGGTGGCTGGAACGATGGAAAAAGACCAACTGGCATTGAAGAAGGATATTTGTCCAGGCTGCAAAAATCTGGCTAGACATTGCTGCTAGGGTAGAGAAGCTGACCACATAAGTTTGTCATATGGATGCCTAGATGCCTATAAGTCAGGCTAATGAGGAGCATTGCAACAACAAACAGGTGGATTGGGCTGCCAAAATTAAAGGTAGATCTGGACTGGCAACATAAGGGAGAGTTATTTCTAGTTTGGTGGGCTCATGATGCCTCAGGTCATGAGCGAAAAGATGCAACATAATGATAGGTTTGTGACTTAAGGGTGAACTTAACCGTGGACACCATATCCCAAGTAATGC